TAGTACCAATGCTGTGCTGTGCTATGCTATGCTATGCTGCGCTATGCTATGCTATGATATGATATGATATGCGATGCTATGATATGCTATGATATGCGATGCGATGCTGCGCTGTGCTATGCTAAGCTATGCTATGCTATGCTGCGCTATGCTATGCTATGCTATGCTATGCTGCGCTATGCTATGCTATGCTGCGCTATGCTATGCTATGCTATGCTAATGCTGCGCTGCGCTAAGCTAAGCTGGGCTAAGACGATATGTATGATCTTGGGGGGCAACCATACATATATAGACATATATATATATATGTATATATATATATGTGTGTGTTAAATAGACGTGTGATAATTATATATGCATACATACATACATACATACATACATACATACATACATACACAAGCAAAGAAGGGAACAACAAAACCAACACCTGGGAGGTGCTTGTTTTTGTTGTTTTCTGGGGCTTCTGGGGTGATCCAGTAATTGCCTTGTTTTTAATGCTAGGGCACCCGAACCCTCGAGAAAAAACTGATTAAAAATCCAATTTGTTTTTTTGGTTTGGAGGTCCCCCCCCGGAAAAACCTTTGAAAAACCATAGAGCTACACCCGAACAACCACCGAGCCGGGAGGTTTTCCGAAAGGGTGTTCTGGAATCGAATTGTTTATAGTTGTGGGGCAAGCCCTTTAACACAACCTTTGGAAAACCCCCGAGCTGGAGGATTTTTCGGTGCCCCCACGCCCCCCCGGAAAAACTCCAGAAAATCGATTGAAAAAACTCCGAATTGGGGTGTTTGTTCGCGGGTCGCCCCCCCCCCGGATAACCCTTGAAAAACCAAAGAAAAAAAACCTAGTTGGCGGTTTTTCGGGGGTTCAGAATATTTCTGCTTTTTCCAATGTGGGCCACAGAACCCTGAAAAATCACAGAAAAACCTCTGGGAAAACCTCCGAATACCCGCGGAAAACCAATGTTGCTTTCGGTGGTTTCCCGGAGATTCTAAGCTTGTTTTTAAGTGTAGGGCCCTCGAACCCGAGTTCGTCTTTGTTTCTATTGTTTCCCGGAAGGCTTTCTGAGGTAGTCTTGTTTTGTGGGGCCCCAGAACCTTGAAAAACCATAGAACCTTGAAACACCATAGAAAACTCGCCGAGTTGGTGGTTTTTCGACGGGGTTTCCCCCCTGGGAAACCACCGAAAACACCCGAACATACACTGGAAAAACACGAAACATCCACGAACGAATTGGAAGGTTTGTCCGGGACTTCCCAGTTTTCTGACATATGTTTGTTTCAAGTTGTGGGGCCCCAGAAGCCCGAAGGACCTTTGAAAAACCCCCGAATTGGGGAATTACGAAAAATAAAACTGGTTGGGGTGTTTTTCCCGGGTTCTTCCCCCAGAGAACGTTTTAAAAACATTCGAAAAAACAATAAAAATAAACTCCCCAGTGGGGGGTTCCCGAGAGGGGTTCTGAGGAAAAGGACGAGGATGAGGAAGAAGGAGAAGGAAGACGAGGACGGGCAGCAGCAGCAGCGGGAACTGGAGTGAAAGGAGCTGGAGGAGCAGGAAGACCAGGGGAAGGCGGGTGGGAAAGGAGGGGGGAGACAACAATGAAGAAGGATTCGCATCCAGAAAGGTAGCAAGGACTGGGGCGAGAGCGCCAATCTTAACGACGGGGCAAATCGCCGATCATAAAATGAGGCCAACGCTGCAGCGGCAGCACCGTGTTGAGATTCCGAAGCTGATGCCCACGTGCGCAAACAACGCGAAAAGGGCGGGCTACCCCCCAGCCATGTACAGGAGATGGAGGAGCTTTCAGGTTGAGCATTTGCGGAGGAGGAAGGGAAGGGGCGGAGGAGGAGGAGGTGGAGGAGGAGAAAGAGACAGGAGAAAGAGGAGGAGGGGGACCAATGTAAGCCCAAGACGCATCAACGATGTTGCAATAAACCCTCCCTCCAAACTCCTCATTCATAGGGCCCTACAAGAATTCATCGTGGCAAATGCGCCATTGGAAAACAACCGTCCGAGAATCCTCAACCGTGCTCACACACAGTTCCTGGGACTTCAGCGCTGCGAACCAACGTGACATTTGCATCCTGGCAACCCTGAGACGCGCCGCAACACCATTCCTGGGACCTCGGCTCTCAATTCGGATGCTGCGTCCTGCCAACCCCACAGCATGCCAGAACACAAGTCCTGGGGCTGCAACAATGCGAATCCTTGGCACCGCTGCAGACGTTTTCGCACGAATGCACGCGGCACTAAGGCGAGAGCCACTTCTTGAAAAGGAGCCGTCTGCATTCTTGGAACTGCTGAAAAGTTATAACACGGATGGTCGCGGCACTTAAGCGAGAACCACACGTTGAACACCGCCTTCCCTCTATCCGTGAAGCTGCTGCTGCAAACTTGAAGATGGATGTGCGCAGCGCAACGGTGAGAGCCAAATGTCACTCTCCACCTGTGAGACTGCTGCAACTCTCAAGCGTCAGGGTCGTAAAGAGGTGAAGAT